GGTGTGGCCCGGCGCTGTGCTCCTCAAATGGGATTCGAATGGGGCTCGTGACGGCACACAGTGGGCCAGAAGACTGGTGCAGGCGGACGAAAAGCCCAGATGCGCTTTGAGCTCCAGAGTCGCTAAACAGGGCTCGAAACGAGCGTGTGACCCCACCAACGGATTCCTCGTTCGGAGAGCAATCCATTGGTGGGGTCACACGTTCGGCTCGAGTCCCATGGGGAGACTCTGGAGCTCAAAACGCGTCTGGAATTTTTGCCGCCTCCACCAGTGGACCCCCCGTGCTGATCCACGGGTACCATCACGTCAATGGTTCCGACACTTTTTCAAGATAGCACTGCCCACTCAGCTCTTCAGCCGGGCGACTCCGAGTCTTCTCGCCGTCTCGCTCGCACCCCTACGCGGCGGCCCGTGAGTGCGAGAGAGGCGGGGCGCATTCAAAAGCTGACGACGAGGGCGCCGTTGTGTACACTGTAGGCCAGTGGTGGCGGGCCATGGCGGGCCGGGTGCCGCGTTGGGTTATCGCAGTGGAAAGACATCGCCAGCATTTTCCACCCCATAAAAGGTGGCGGGAAGGGATGAGAAAACTCCCGGCCCCCGCGCCACGCACCGCGCGAGCCCCATTTTTCAGCTCACACTGTCCGTCTCTGTGACTGTCTGTCTGTCCGTCTGTCTGTCTGTCTGTCAGCCGCTGGTTGTTTTGTCACTTGGCCAAATTCACGCGCGCGACCTGACACACACTCAAACGCCCCGCACAGTGGGCCGGAGGACCGGTGGAGGCGGCCAAAACTCTAAACGCGTTTTGAGCTCCAGAGTCGTTGAATGGGACTCTGGAGCTCAAAACGCGTTTAGAGTTTTGGCGGCCTCCACCGATCTCCTAGCAAATCCACTGTGCCGCACTCGCTCGTACTCACCCAAACACGCCCACAATCATAGAATATCTGCTTTCTCTTTCTCTCGCGCACGGACAGACGGTCGGCCGGGAACACACAACGCCCAGGCCTCTATCCAATCCAGCCTCAATTTTCCCCCTGGCCCCTAAACGTACGAATTCAACGCAAACGCCACGCGGCCGCTACACGCCCCGCCAGTTCCGCCGGAAGTAGCCTAGGTGTGTGCATGAGTGCGTCTGTGTGTGTGTGCGTAAGTGCGTGTCTGTGTGCACGCCCACGTGAGTGGAGCAGGGAAGGGGGAACTGGCCGTAAGTGTAGGTAGGTGGGTATTGTGTACGTGGCGTAAACAGCCTGAAAGCTAACGCCCGGTACGTAGTCTCGTACAGCCCCCCCCCCCCCCGCCACCTTTCATGCCTGGACTGCCCGTCCACCTCCAGCAACAGTCGAAGCGGACTCGATTCGATACTCGTTTCATGCAAAATTCCCCCCTCGGCTGGCCTCGGCGCACCTACAGGCACCTGCGCGACGAATCGCATACGGTTTCTCATCCAACAGAGTGGCGGTCGGGCCAGCGCGCCTGCAATGCAAAACGCCAAGCAAGTCAAAGGGCACTCGCAAAAAAAGAAAAAAAAACTGGTGAAGTGCCTTGGACAGAGGGAGTAGTGTGGCCCCCGCAATTGGTTTTAAAAATTCACACCGTTTTCGTGCCTCTAAAAAAACAAATGGCGGCCTTCCGTCTGTGGGGACGCGTTTACGGCTCCGCGGGTTCGAACACCACTAGAGGCGCGTGTTTCCGCAGCGTTTTTTTTTTTTTCGTCTTCCCCGAAATTGCGGCCAGGTTGTTGCGTCCATCCAAATTGGTCGGAATTGCGATGCAGTCGTGTTGACTCGCCGCCCCGCACGGCCCCGCCTCTCCCGAGTCGCTCCTTTAATAAATAATACAGAGATAACGAAAAGGGGTGGAAGGGGCAGCGAGAGGGGCTGCGAGAGGGGCGTCCCGGCCCGGCCCGACCGGAATATCAAATCCAGACTCTCTTAAAATTAGTCACGTGTTTCGCCCCATCCCTGTCCCACTCCGCGTCCCGCCCGAAACTCCAGACGCGTTTTGAGCTCCAGAGTCGCTAAATGGGACTCGAACCGAACGTGTGACCCACCAATAGATTGCTCGTTCGGAGAGCAATCCATTGGTGGGGTCACACGTTACGTTCGAGTTCCATTTAACGCCTCTGGAGCTCAAAACGCGTCGAAACGGGCAGCGCCACAGGGTGCCTCGCTGTGCCTCGCTGCCGCGTTCCTTCGGCACTACTGCCCCACCTGTGACAGGCCAGACAGGCGGACAGGGGGAACGGGGCGCCTGAAATGATTGAAGGATTACATCCGCATACCTGTGGCCTGCCTGTGGCCCATCCCCGGCGCCTGCCCGCCTGCAGCCCAGTGCAGCGGACCGCCCTCGGCCGTCACAAGCGCCCCCCCCCCCCCTCCCTCTCTCTCTCTCCTCTCTCTCTCTCTCTCTCTCTCCTCTCTCTCTCTCTCCTCTCTCGCCGCGGATTTGGCACGACCCAGAGACGCAGATTCCTCGCGGAGAGGCGGCGACTCCAGACAGAGCCTCTCGTCTCGCTCGCACCCCCACGCCACTGCGGGGAGCCCCGCGAGTGCGAGAGAGACAGCCAACGAGCTGCTGGCCGAGGCGGGCGTAATGCGGGTAATGGGGGCTCCTTGATTAGTTTCGGCGCCAACTTGACCGAGTCGCATCGTTCCGCATTGGCACCCCCTCTACCCCCCCCCTCTCTCTCTCTCTCTCCTCTCTCTGTGGCCGCACAAGTAGTTGGCTCCCACAAAACGGTGCCGGCTGGACCGCCGTGGTTTGGGGAGGCCCAAGACCACAGCTAGATTGGACGCATTGGCCGGGCCTCCCAAAGGCAGCCATTTTGAATTTTTCGACTTTTTGACCACAGCTACATTGGACGTAATTTTATTTTTTTCAATTTTTTTCCGCACATAGGGGGGAAGCTCGTTTCTCTCTTTCTCTCTCCCGTTGAAACTCCTGCACAACGCGATCAAGACCTTTACCCTGACGGCAGCCCGGTGGGCGGCAAGGGCTCTGTCTCTCTCGCGTCGACGACGCCCCACGGAGAGAGAGAGAGAGAGAGAGAGAGAGAGAGAGAGAGAGAGAGAGAGAGAGAGAGAGAGACGGGCTGACGAGCTGCCAATTAGCCAGGATTAAGGTCGACGGGCAGGTGAGCTTGGCCGGTGCAGGCGCTGCAGGCGCAGCAGGCATAGGCAGCATGCACTCAGTGCTCACTTCCAAGTGTAGGCGCCGGCGGATGGGAGGGGAGAGACCCCGAGGGGGCGGCCTGGGTGGAGCTGTTGGGTCGAGCGAATGTCACATCGCATCAGACGAAGCCTTCCCGTGGCTGCGGGCTCGGCCACCGCGAGCACACACACGCACAGCGACTCGCACGCACACACACGCGCGCACACACACACACACAGACACAGACGAGCGCGCGCCAGCCCCGAGCACTCTAACCCACCCCAAGACTTGCATTACCCACACGCCCTCCCCCACCCCCTCCCCATTATGGCGACACCCCACTGCCAATTCTATACCCCATTCCACCAAACAATGCCCCCTTCCCTCCGCCTTGCTGGCCTTGCTGTACACGATTGATACACGGCCGTTAACGTCAATGGCGAACGAGAACCACCGCGGGGGCACGGCACCGTCAGGGCACGGCCACCCTGCCGGGGCCCGGCAGCCACACCGTAAGCAAATCTAGGCCAGAAGACTGGTGGAGGCGGCCGAAACTCCAGACGCGTTTTGAGCTCCAGAGTCGCTAAATGGGACTCGAACCGAACGTGTGACCCCGCCAATGGGTTGCTCGTTCGGAGAGCAGTCCATTGGTGGGGTCACACGTTCGGTTCGGCCCGTCCGGCGAGCATGATCGCCCCAACTGCGTGGCTCCTCCCCGCCAGTCGAGGTCCTTTCTTTCGGCAAGGTGCGCTGCTTTGACGCCGTCGGCACACTGGGACAAGAAAGGGGTGGGGGATCCAAGGCGGGGCGGCGGAAGGGGTTGAGTTATGCAAAAAGAGACGGCGCTGCCTCTGTCTCTCTCTCCGCCGCGGAAGAACCGTGCGCGCATTCAAATGGGGTACACACCGCGCCGCACCGCGCCGCACCGCGCGCCGCGGATTCGATACGCATTTCCATATCGAGGAAACGCAATATTGTCGCGAGTCCTAGCCAGTGCCTCCGTCGCGCTGTCGCTCTGTCTCTCTCGCGCTCGCGGGGCGGCCCGCGGGGCCCGGGGCGGCCCGCAGGGGGTGCGAGAGAGACAGAGACACGAAGCACGGTATGTACGGCGGGCCGGGCGGGCCCGTCTGGTGGCGCTCAACAATCACACCCCGGTTAAAACAACAAAGTGCACAGAGGCAGCGCCCCCGCCTGTCTGTCTGTCTGTCTGCCTGTCTGCCTGTCTGTCTGTCTGCCTGCTCGTCCGTCCGTCCGTCTGCCGTCCCTTCGAGCCCCGCAACAGGACCCACTCTAATTTGAAACAGCGAACGCCATTCGGAGCTGCAAACACGCCTTGCTGCGCCACTATTTGAATTCGCACCAATTTGGCGGGGAGCGGGGAAATTTCTAGTGGGGTGGCGGTGGGGTAGCGTCGGCAAGGTGAGGGGCATAAGGATCAGACGGGGTGTTTGGGGGTTGTAAAGGGGGAACCGCGTCCCGTGCACAGTGGGCCAGAAGACCGGTGGAGGCGGACAAACGTCCAGGTCCGTTTTGAGCTCCAGAGTCGCTAAATGGGACTCGAACCGAACGTGTGAGCCCACCAATGGATTGCTCCACGGACGAGGAATCCATTGGTGGGGTCACACGTTCGGTTCGAGTCCTGCTTAGCGACTCTGGAGTTTAACACGTCTGGGATTTCAGCCGCCTCCACCAGTCTTCTGGCCCACTGTGCGGTGTGAACGAGGGGGGAGGGGGCTCGGAGTAAGTGAGAATAGTCTCTCTGCGCCGTGAATATTGACTTGGCGGCCGGAGAGCGGACATAAAATGAGGTAAAAAATGGTGGGCCCCTCGTGCAGCCTCGCTGGCACCATGGAATAGGGCCCTACTGGAATGGCGACCGTTCGCTCCGGCCTGAAGCTCACTGCGTAGGTACTGGGCCACTGCCTTCTGCGCGACGGCCGAACGGCCCGGGGGTATGGGGGCTGGGTGGGGAAGGGCGGGGGTGCGCGCGTCCTGCGCGCCAGGACGTGTTTACACAGAGACGGACGCTATGGACGGCCCTAGACGGCCTGCAAGAACGCGAAATAATCACATAATCATGAATGTGATGTTGATGTAACTGTGATTTCTGTGATATTTGTGATAATTTGTCGGTCATTTCGACGTCAGTTCGTCGGTTTGTGGCTGTTTCGTGTTCTTGTAGCTAGTTTGGGGGGACGCGATAGGGTTTACTGAATGACTGACTTTGAATGAATGACGGAAAGACAATTAATATCTCTATGGAGGACTTTGACGAACTCAACGACTCTGGTAACACAAATGTTTGGGAGGACATTAGCTTTTTCGACGACTTGGATGACCTTGATACGGTGACTGTAGAAGTGGCGACGGACGCTACTGACTCTACGCCCCAACGACAAAGAAAACCAAGGAAACCAAGGCCATCTTTAAATATTAAGTGCGGTCGCTGCCCTGCGTCTCGTCACAAATTTGCGACGGTCTCAGGGTATGCTGAGCATCTGAAGAGCCATGCCTGGGATGGTATGTATCAGAGCGATGTCAGGAACCCTTCAACACACATTCCTTATGTCTTCATTTCATGTTCTGAATCTGTATTTCAGATATCAAGAGTCGGTTGGCAAGTGAAGAGACCTTCTGTGGCTGGGCCAGAGAATTGGGACCCAAGGCTCTGAAGGACTTGGGGGCCCAACCAAGGACATCAACGGGCTTTGGCCCAGCCACAACATCATTCATTGAAGGAATTGACTGCCACAGTCAAGAATGGGCACAATTTATAGACTTTGTGAGTGAAAACCTAGTGCGCCCCATCCACAAATACATCTCACTGCTTCCATCCCACCTTCTGGAGAAGTCCCAGTCCAGTGTGCTCCGCTTTCTGGCAAATGCAGACACCAGGGCTCAGGCGCATTTCCTCCTGAGCCGTTGCCACTCGGAGGAAACCCCTGCAGTGGTGGTGTCTGTCGTTTGCCAGAAAGTTGTGTTTCGTGTAGTGGAGCTCACTGTAGCGCAACATGTGAAGAGGATGAAAGACAGTGCCAGCACCCGCAGAGCCATCAGCAGGATCACCGGGCGAGTCATCAAGGTGATCCACCACTGTGGTGGGTCTGTGGTAAAAGGGTTGCTGCGCAAGTGCTTCAGGTACCGTCATGATCCATGGTGGAACCAAGTTACCGAGGTTGTGAGAGGTAACTTTATCCCTGGTGCTTCCGAAAGTCCCTTGGAGGGTGGGGCCAGTGAGTGGACGGATGTACTCAACAGGGGCGGTCTTACTCTGATAAGTAAGAACGCCCTTGCATTCTTCAAGTCTCTGGCAGAAATTCTTGGCGACATGGAGAAGCAGGACAGAATTGCCTCCCATGTTCAGCTCATTCAGGCAGTGTACAAGAGCCAAGATGCTATGAAGAAATGGGACGAGCTGTGCCAAGGAAGTCTCCCTCACAAGGACTCATTACATCTCATGGTTCTTGTGAGTAGAGGCTTCTGCAACACTTTCTCCAGAGGCGTCATCAGGAAGCGGCTCAACAAGACCAAGAAGTTCACATCCGTCCCCCTGCGCCCCAGAATGGCCAGGTAACTTTTTTTTTCCACCATGTATTGTGAGTTCCTCAACATTATTATTTAAATTCGTATTTGTCACGGTATCTGTAAGTTCCTCAATATTTTTTTTTTTTATAATTTAGTATTTAACCAAACTTTAGTGCCAATGAGTTGTTAAGGATTTGACTGAACTGTTGTGATTCTCTAGTGTAGGTGTTACGTACATAGTTCAGTAGTGATCATGTTACTATTAGTATTTTAGTATTGTTAGTGATAACAATTGTTTTTAACGATTCTATGGATGTTACTACTTTTAAGAATTTGACTGAACCTGAAAATTATGGTCACATGTTGTTCAGTGATGCATTCCCGTAAATGCTACCAAAGATACTGAAAAAGCGCGTTTGTGTTAGAGGGATGTCCCAAGCAATACTGAGGCTCCAGGATTTATCACATGCACATGCACATGATAATCTGGATCAGCCTGCAGAAATTGTGAGGACCCCTCGATTAGATTTGTGTTATGTTCATGTGATAAGTGCTGTGACGCTGTAATGTTTGTGATAAATCTTGTGATGCTGATGTGTGTTGAGTATACTGTAGTAATTCGTAGGAAGATGTTTTCAGTCTGTATTATTCATATTATTCATATTTGCGTCCTTTGTTTAATGTGATACCACACACAAATAAACTTGTTTTCAAGTTAAGTGAATATCCATTCTGATGTCAAATAACATCACTTATCAGTTAAGATTCTGAATTTTTATTAGTAAGTTAAGTGCTGCAAGTAGATATACTTTGCTAGTCTTTATCAAACGGGTCTTATGAAAGAAGAAAATAAATGATTTTTATACATATCTATCGTGCTTTTATTGAGTTTAACAGAGTGCTCCACAAAACATTCAATCTGAAAACATAAACGGATACTTTTCAGCAAGGCAGCGTTTAGTGTTGTGTCTTGGCTTCTTTTCCATTGGAGTGGAAAGCACAGACATTCCTTCAGAAGAAGTAGCCAGAGTGTTTCCACGTTTCCTCTTGAAACCTGTTTCACCAACTATATGAATGGAGTTCATATTTCTTAGGAAAGTGTCTGCATTGGGGTTTCTATTTCCACCTCCCATGGCACGCTGATGGCTAAAATATTGCTCCAATGGATCTTGACAAAATACTCGAGCCATAACATATTTTTGGCCACTAGCTAAAAGAAATCGAGTGCAGCCAATAAATGCATGAATAGTGCGCTCAATACCCTCTTGGGTTTGCCAACTCAACTGTCTTGCACTGCACTCTTCATCTTTCTTCTGGAGATGGATAGTTGCTGCACGAGCGTCCTCTTTCCATTCCTTCAGATATTTCAAGAAATCCAGAAGCTCCGTGAACCTGGGGTCAAAGTGATTGTCATACCTCGCCAGATTTTTGTTGCGTGTCTTCATTTCTTGATCAGAATGTGCTCCATTAAGCATATCAAAGAAATCGTTCACCTTCTTGATGAAAATTGCAGTCTCTTCACAATCTTTGTATCCAAGAATGCCAATCATTTTTGAAACGGTGTCACTCATAACTTGGGCTGCTAAAGGGACCCTCATTCTCGAATAGGAGTCTGGATATACATTTTGTTGGTTTAACTTGTAGCCAAAGGTCCAGGTTTCATCCTTTTCTTCCATGAACATGCGCACAATAGTATCCCATGTAATGATCTGCCCATTCTTCATCAGAAGGCGAGTCTTTGCTGGATGTATGCCGGAGCTCATGAAGTTGTTCCGAATACATTTCAACAAATGAGGAACATCATTGAAGAAGTACAAAGTCCTTCCTTCAGCAGAGCAAAAGTTGACTGTGTCAAATACAATTCCATTTTCATTTGTAGTCACTGGTACATGCATCTGATAAAATGCCCTATTAACTGTATTACCATCTGAAATAAGAGCAACAACGGCAACACCAGCTAATTCTAAGTTGCCAATGACATCCCAAGTTCTCTCATACAATTGCTCCTTGGTCAACTTTTTGGTAGGATATGAAGCCACAGCTTCCTTCACCCCAGATGCAGTCCCTTTGATCATGTAGGTCAACATGTGATCTGCAATTGGAGGAGTGCATTCTACTTCTTTTTCACCTTCCAGCTGCCTTTGCAGTTCATTCATTTCCTTTGAGACTTCGCTCAAATGGGCATAGCCAAATAGTTCCCCAGTTTCCTTTGAATATACCAGATTCTGAGAGGTTGTCATCTCATCAAACATTAGAACATGAAACTTTTGGTAGGATTCCTTCAGCTCACTTACTTTCTTTGAAATATCCTCTAAAATCTTTGCATTGGTACCAGTTTCAGGCTTGTAAACTGATGAGTAATCAAAGAGTGTTCGAACACAGGGTAAAGCTATCATTCCACTTTGTCTTGCAGCATCATATGCAGCAGGGGATATGCTTTTCAGGTGCAGTGCAAAACGTATCATCATGGGGTGCCACCTCATGCCTGTCTTGCTCTTCACAGCAGAAGCTCGCATTTGCTGCTCTAAAAATATTTTTTGAATGTCAGTGAGCTTATTATTTTTTAAAACGATGTTCAAATTTTTACTCAATTGACAATCAATATCGATTCCTTCAGTATCCAACATCTTTACTATCCGAGCTGTAAGTCTACGAATAGTCTGGTCACTTAATTTTATTTTCTGTTGCTTTATCTTGAGGAGTCTTTTTGATGCACTGCTTGTCAAATAATCATGCCGTGTGTTCCTTTTAGGAGTTTTGGTCCGGTTTTGTGATTCACCACTGGTTGTTGTACGATTATTAATTAACTTCTTAGATGCAGCAATCCTCCTTTCACGAGCATAAATTATGTCCGCGAGTCTACAACAAGTGGCACACTTCTTTCGCCGCAGTGGTACTAGAAGAGAACAGTGCTTGGATCTGTAGCAGGAATCATCAAATACATTGTCATCAAGAGTCACATCCTTTCTGGAACTTAATATCTTTGAGTTCACTTCATTACTTTCAATACCAGGGCACACTTTCATTTGACAAACAGCATTCACAATTTTTACTACACGATTTGAGAAAGCCTGAACATTATCATGGCGGAGAGGCAATTTGTTTCCTGTTTCTTTCCATATACTGTGGTTTTCAGGCACCGATTTTGAAAGAATGCCAATTTTTACAGAACCCTGCTCATAGTCCACAAACACGACTTTCTCTACAGGAGTGAGTTCACCTGAAGAAAAAACCAGGGCACTGACTCCATTTTGACGACTAATTGGCTGCCATGGTGCTGGGAGGAAGCACTTCAGATGCTTCAGTAATGAGTCGATAAGGTCGACACTGACACCATCAAATTGTGGCATAATGTGTGGTCCATAAGTGGGGCTTGCACCATCCGTCATGGAGGAAGGGGGTCCAGAATTCGATAAGCTGCCATTGCTCCAGTTCACCTAATAACAATAACAGTCATTTATTAATGTTGGTCAACACAAACAAAGAACAATATATCATAGTCCATGAGCCTTACAATTAATGGCACTCTCACTTCATCAATACGGCTGTAAATGTTGTTCTCCTGTTAAAAAGAGAGAAGATAGTGAAGTGGGTGTACATATGATGGCATCAGTATGTAACATCATTCAAATTACTGACCGTAGGAATTTTAAGAGGAGCTGTTGATGGCTGTGTACTATCATTTCCTATAGTAACCGACAGAGTGGAATCACAGTTCTTAATTGTCACTTGGTGGCGAGTTATGCCATCCTAAGAAATCAAATAGTAATGATTTAATCAGCTCTCCATTTTGAGTAGATTAAAAAAGATAATAATAAAATTATTACTACACTCACATCAGACAGGAAGGGATCAATTGAGAGACATGTTGCAGATGCAAGGCTAAGCTCTGATTGTCCACCCATGGTAGCTGTGACAGGGGTGCTGCTGTGGATTGCACTCGGACCAATCTGAGACACAAAAAAAGAAAAGAAGGTTACATGGTGAGTCATTGCTAACATTTCAACCAAAATAATGATGGAAAAAGGAGGAAAAACACCTCTTGAACCTCTCTTTCTGAATCATGATCATGTAATTCCAATTTTATTTCCACAATGGTGGATTGCTCTGCTTCATTAATCTCATCAGCTTTATTGCTGACAGTGACTTTGACAGGGGTACTTGTGTGAATTGCACTGCCAACATCCTACAGAAACAAAAAAACAGGTGAGAAGTCTTTCTTCACAATTAATTAAAAATAATCAAGTATTAATTTTTTTGCACCTCATTATGGTCAGAAAGTACTTCTTCATCAAGAGATTTATCTGCTTCATGATCCTTTGCCTTGACATTTCTGTCTTCTTCTGTGTCCAAATCAAATGTGGGGGGACGTGTTTCCACTTCAATAGCATGGACTGTGGATTTCTTTGTCGTCTGTTTTGCTGTGTAAAACAAAGAACGTCTGCCTCTTCTCCTTGTCTTACATTTCATTTCCAAAACAGTAGATCGATCTGCTTCTTTAATGTTTGGGCTCAAGTCTGATTTACTGCCCACAGCAGCTTTTGCTGGGGAAACTGCGTGAAGTGCACCAACACCATTCTGGAGAGAGATAAGACATAAGTGAGAGGTTTCTCTGCACTGGTGCTTGTCACGATAACTCCAAATTAAAAACAGTCAATAGTTAATTTCATAACAGAAATATAATCAAGTATTAATTTTTTGTCACCTCTGTACGAGTAACATTCTGGTCAGAGAGTACTCCTGCATCAAGAGATTGGTCTGCTTCATGATCCTTTGCCTTGAGGGAACTGGAGACATTTCTGTCAACTTCTGAGTCCGAATCAAATGTGGTGGGACATATTTCAATTTCAATACCACTGACTGTGGGTTTCTTTGTCTTCTGCTTTGTCCTATAAAACAAAGTGCGTCTGCCTCTTCTCCTTTTCTTACGTTTTACTGGAAAAACACAAAATGAACCAATGGTTAGCACACATATCGCAGTCCTGAGCTACTAAAATTCAACATTCTTTCACTCACCAGGTTGTGACAACGCAGCCTGTGGTTTGACAGCAGTATTCTTTGAACCAGAATCGGAAGAGATGGGTACCTTAGCAACAGTACTTTTCATATTTCAACCTGCAAACATTTCAGTTTAGAGAAAATAAACAAACAAACAGGGGTTAAGGGACCCCTGTGCAGGCTCACTTCTTGTGTGTACATTGTCACAACTAATGACAACTGAGGTTTGAGAGGTTACTGAAGTGGGGCATAAAGGTTCATTACAACAGGAAAGCTGCACAGTTCCAGAAATCACAGCCAGGAAAACAATTAATTCCATTTAATATACAGTGCCTAGGCTCACGGCCTCAAAGTTGCAGAACTTTTGTGGATAAATTCGATCACACACATTATATTTGAGGTTAATTTATACTGAGACTGATCCTCCAGAACTTTAACTACCAGGATTTTGTGCGGGATGAAAGACAAATTCACGTTTTGTTTAAACATTAAGAAAAAATGGCTCTTTATGAGCTATCATTGGCCTGTACGATGCCGCATTTCTGTCGATGAATATACCCACACTCAATATATTCAAGGTCGGTTTTACCAGAAACGATTTCTCCAATACTTACATTACCAGGAATTCGAGCGGGATGCACGCCAAATTCACTTAGAGTTTATTAATTTGAAGGAATAGGCCGCTTCACCGTTAGCAGAGACGCGTAGTGGCCGCCATGTCAAATCCCGACCAGAGTCCTATACCTGTAGGACTCTAGTACCGACGCAGTGAGCTTCAGCCAGGCAGGCCCAGTTGCCACTCCAGCCAGAAAAGGTCCTACTCTCATGCTGGCACGGTCCCGCCGAGGGGCGGGGTGGGGGGCGGGGTGGGGGGCGGGGTAGGGGGCCCCTCGAAGCAGGGGCGCTGGGGCACGTGGGCGCTCGCCGGCATTGGCCTGACCCCAAAAGGGCCCCAAGAACCCCGAAGAACCCCGCAGAACCACGAAGAACCCCGCAGAACCACGAAGAGCCCCGAGGAAACCCGAAGGACTAGAGAGGAGGCGGGAATTAGCGCACGGGATCGCACGCCAGGGTCTCCGCGGAGAATGCCACGGCCCAAACTTTCGATATCCATTGAGAGTTTTCGACGACTTTGGCCAGTTTTTCTCTTCAATTTCACTCCTTTGTTGTCGATTGGTCGTTACCATCTTCATAACGACTGGCGGCTCCAGCCAAGTCCCCCCCCCCTCCTTTTCCTCCCTCTTCCTCCAGCAGTGAGTGATGCACCAGCTTGCCGCGGACGGCCGCGGACGGCCGCGGACACACGCACCGACAACTTTTTAATTTCCCCCGCACCGCCTTCTCTTTCTCTTAAAAAGCAAACCAACACCAGAAGAAAAACGGGCGCCGTTTTCTTTTTAACGACTTGTTGTGTTTCTTTCGTGATCCCTGTTGGTGGCGGTGACAGGGCGACGCCGGGCGACGCGGCGGCAAGGATCCGCCTTTGCGATGACAATATCTCTCTTTTGACGATACGGCGGCAAAAAACGTCTTTCCGTTACACTTCTGGAGGGCGCCGCCATGGCCAGGGCAAAAAGAAGGCGGTGGCCGCTCTGTCTGCCTGTCTGTCTGTCTGTCTGTCTGTCTGACTCATCGCGCGGCCTGTCATTCGCTGCCACTCCGGCCGTTGCAGCCGCTGGCCCTCTGTCTCTCTCCCTCTGCAGTCACGTGGCTGACACTAAGCGCGCGCGCCCCGGAGCGAGCAATAACACGGAACAACAACAAACAAAACCGGCGGCCTTTTAATATTTTGGCAGCGCAGAGACAACAAATCAATCCGCCTTTGTAGCGGTAATATCGGGCATTCCCGCTTTAGTTCCAGTGTGGGAGGGGCGGCCGCGCGGCGAAGGTGGCTAAACCTGGTGGCGGCGCGGGCAACTCGCGCCAGACTCAATCGCCGATACCAAAATACGACAGGTTAACTCAAAGAAAAATGGAATTTCGGCCATATCTCAGCCGGGTGCAGACACCTCTGCCAGGCTTATAAGCGAAAATACTTCGACTGGCTCTCAAGTTCAAATCCGTCGTCACAGGACTCGAACCGTACCAATGGATTCCTCGTTCGACGAGCGATTGGTGGGGTCACACGTTCGGTTCGAGTCCCATTGAGCGACTCTGGAGCTCAAAACGCGTCCGGGACTTTGACCGCCACCACCGGTCTTCTGGCCCACTGTACGGCGAGGCACACCGCGCCTGTTTCGCCATGTGTGTGCGCGTGTGTGGGTGCGAGTGTGCGGAGCGCAGCGGGCTGCCTACCTCGGGCTGTGGCGAGCGGGCTGCTGGCCTCGGACACCCAGGGGGTGCTGGTGCGCTGCGCGCGGCGCGGGGATGCGGCAAAGTCGCCGGCTACTCGGAGGTCCCCCGAGTCACTCCAGAGAGCAGCACACCGCTAGAACGCTGCAACGCTGGGACCCGGCGGGGGTCGGCGGGGCTCGAACCCCGGCCCGCGCGTCCGCGTCCTCGTCCGCGGTCGCGGGGCGTCGCGGCGTCGCGGCGGCACGAGGGTGCGATCGCAGAGTCGTCGTCGTCGTCGGCGGCGGCGGCTCGACTGCGCGGTGGTCCGTTCGGGACGCGCGCCGGCGATGAACTGAGGGGCGTGGGGCGAGGGCGGCGTGGGGCTCGACGCCGGGGCCCACCCCCACCACGCCCGCACCGCCCGCCGCCCCACCGCCCCGCGACGCACGGGGCGCTACTCGGGAAGCGCTTGTAAAGGGTACCTAACACGCCATCCGCACAGCGCAGCGCGCAGCCAGCGCCGCGACCGAAATGGGAACCCGGTTCCTGGTAGTTCCTGCCGAGCAGCGCCCTGTCTCTCTCGCACTCACGCGGCGGCAGCGGCAGCAGCGGCAGCCCCCACAGGAGCGAGGGAGACAGAGCGCGCTCGCTGGCAGACAGACGAGTGCATGCCGATGATGACCCCATGCGTCGTCTCCACGAAGAACCTCCCTCTCTCTCGCACCCCGAGGGAAGTCGACGCGGTGCGAGAGAGAGCGACGAAACGACTTGGGATTGGTCGCTCGGCGGGCACATTATTCAGAGAGCACTCCTTGTTTCGAGGCTTGGCCCGGTCGAAGAGGCTCTCATGACGAATGATTCAATGAAGGTAATGATCCCCGATGCCGGGCACGCCGCGCAGCCCGCCCCGCCAGGCCCCGCCAGGCCGGGCGGAGAGGGGGCGGCAGGTCGCATGGCTCCAGGAGCCCCTGCAGTGCCCCGCCACGGCGCGGCCACGGCGCGGCGGCTCCGTGCCTGGTACAGAGACACTCGCGTGCACGCAGGGGCAGGCCGGCAGACCGACACAGCCAGAGACAGACAATTATCAGCCCCTCCCCCTGGGGCCCCGCCCCGCCCCGCCCGCCCCGCCCTCTCACGTGCTAACAGCCATCAGGTAGGCTAGAAACAGGTGGAGCGCCCTGTCGGAGAGAAAATTTCAATTTTCGTGCCCGCTGCTCGCTGCGCTGCGCGCCCCTTCCCGGGGAAGTCCGACAGACGACTGTGACGGCGACGCGGCGGCGTGGTGGCACACTGGCAGCGGCCTCGCGGATTCCATGACGGGAACCATTATCAGGTTGGCAGCACATGCATTGGGATGAGACGCCAGCCGGTCGCCTGATAAGCAGGCTGCCGCACAGTGGATGTGCCAGAAGACCGGTGGAGGCGGCAGAAATTCTAGACGTGTTTTGAGCTCCAGAGTCGCTAAACAGCACTCGAATCTACTCGAACCGAACGTGTGACCCCACCAATGGATTCCTCGTTCGGAGAGCATTCCATTGGTGGGGTCACACGCTCGGTTCGAGTGCTGCTTAGCGACTCTGGAGCTCAAGACCCGTCCGGCACTTTGACCGCCGCAATCGCTCTTCCGGTCCACTGTGAAACGGAGTGATGGCGGAAAATGGTCATGTTCTGGACATTTGTCGAGGTGGCGTACTTCCTGGAGCACTCTCATTCATCGCTGGAGACGTATTTTCCTCGTTAGTCGGCCCGTCTCCGGAAAAACCCGAACGCCCTTCGAGCGTCTCCGCCGTCGCCGTTCCTACGTTGCCCGGCAGTGCCTGCTCTCCAATCGCGCACTCGGTGATTAATTAAATAATAATTTGGCGGTGAGAGTTTTGAGCGGCGCGGCCCGCCGAACACAGTTTGCTCGAGGGTTCTCGAAACTCTGCAGCGGCAGCACTGGAAGGCAGCAGGCACTGCGAGGCAGCACCGGGCCGTGCAGTCTTCGCCTGCATTATTGCAGGAAAGGTGGAAATGAGCGGCCAGACCGGCCGGGCAGGGCCTCTCTCTCCCTCCTCTCTCTCTCTCTCTCTCTCTCTCTCTCTCTCTCTCTCTCTCTCTCTCTCTCTCTCTCTCCCTCTCTCCCTCTCTCTCTCTCTCTTACTCTCTCTCTCTCTCCCTCTCTCTCAGTCTGGGCCGCCAAAGGGAAAGGCCCGCCGAAAAGCGGTTCCAATCGAGGCTGGCTGCAGCGCTCCGCTGTGCTCCGCTGCGCCACTGCAGCGACCGCGTCATGGAGGGACTCTGAGGGAAATAATGCGCACTTGCACCGCAAAGCGCGCGGCGGAGCGGGCGGAGCGCGGCGCCAAGTACCTGCCACTAATGACGCGGTGGAGGCGGCCAAAATCCCGGACGCGTTTTGAGCTCCAGAGTCGCTAAATGGGACTCGAACCGAACGAGTGACCCCACCAATGGATTGCTCTCCGAACGAGGAATCCATTGGTGGGGTCACACGTTCGGTTCGAGTCGCATTTAGCGACTCTGGAGCTCTACACGCGTCTACAGTTTTGACCGCCTCCAGCGGTCTTCTGGCCCACTGCGCGCAAGATACACCGGCGTGCAACCGAAACCACGCGGACTTGAGCGTACTCTGCGTACACTCTGCGTGACTTGCGTGCCCGCGCTGCGCCGCTGCGCACACACTGGGAGTGAGTCCCGCAGCCTAAATCACTGATGCGGAGCAAAAAAAAACCGTATGCGGCAAATCAAAAACCGTATGAGGCAGACCAAAAGCCGTATACGGCAAACAAAAAACCGTATGCGGCAAATCAAAAACCGTATGAGGCAGACCAAAAGCCGTATACGGCAAACAAAAAACCGTATGCGGCAAATCAAAAACCGTATGAGGCAGACCAAAAGCCGTATACGGCAAACAAAAAACCGTATGCGGCAAATCAAAAACCGTATGAGGCAGACCAAAAGCCGTATACGGCAAACAAAAAACCGTATGCGGCAAATCAAAAACCGTATGAGGCAGACCAAAAGCCGTATACGCAAACAAAAAAACCGTATGCGGCAAATCAAAAACCGTATGAGGCAGACCAAAAGCCGTATACGGCAAACAAAAAAACCGTATGCGGCAAATCAAAAACCGTATGAGGCAGACCAAAAGCCGTATACGGCAAACAAAAAACCGTATGCGGCAAATCAAAAACCGTATGAGGCAGACCAAAAGCCGTAAACGGCAAACAAAAAACCGTATGCGGCAAATCAAAAACCGTATGAGGCAGACCAAAAGCCGTATACGGCAAACAAAAAACCGTATGCGGCAAATCAAAACCGTATGAGGCAGACCAAAAGCCGTATACGGCAAACAAAAAACCGTATGCGGCAAATCAAAAACCGTATGAGGCAGACCAAAAGCCGTATACGGCAAACAAAAAACCGTATGCGGCAAATCAAAAACCGTATGAGGCAGACCAAAAGCCGTATACGGCAAACAAAAAACCGTATGCGGCAAATCAAAAACCGTATGAGGCAGACCAAAAGCCGTATACGGCAAACAAAAAACC